AAGAAAAGAAAAGAAAAGAAAAGAAAAGAAAAGAAAAGAAAAGAAAAACATGAAAAGGATAAAAACTCGGAATTCTGCAGTTACCTTAGGATTGTGCATTTGCAATATTTCCATGGCCAGCATGTCACTGAGCTATAAAGGTTTTGTCCCCAACATGTGCTCAGCGGTTCTACCTACCATGCTTCCTCTGCCTCCATCCAGACAAGCCTCCTGGATGAACTCACCGTCTATGCCTATGGACCATTCAACGTGAGACCATAGTCTACCTTCTCTCCTCCAAAGATCTTGACCTCTACACCATTTCGGCACCCACGCCCATGGTCACACCCTTGAAACTCTTCCAGCTTTGTATGCTCAACCATTACAATCCCCTTTGCTCTGCAAATCCCCATTTTCTAGTTTTCTCCTCTCCTTGGTGGTAGCTGATGGAATATGGGCAAATAAAACACAGGTTGGGGAACCTGAGAGATCTGGGTTTATAGTGGCTTTGCCACTTGTTAGTTGAATGATCTCAGGCAAATGACCATATTTCTGAGCCTCATATTCCTTACCTGTGAAAGAGGGATAATACCATCTATGTTTGGCATTGTAACGTGGGTTACGCTCCCGGGACTGAGGGCACCAAACACCCCACTTAGCTGATACTCAGTAAAGCTAGTTTTTCCCCTTCCATTCCTTCTTCCTGGTTCTCCCACTAACTTCATGCTTAGGTCACAAAGCAAATTCTGCTCTTGGGACTCTCCTGGTGTCTCATCTCTTCTGGGCTTCAAGGTCATTTATTCACCCTCTACAGTGGTCCTCTGATGTCCCACCCCAGTTCTGGTTAATACTCGACACTGGACCAACACGACACTTCCGTGGTCACTCTTGCTGCCAGGCTGCTGAGGGCATTTCTGCTTGGCCAGGAGGTTATGGGCATTTTTGTTTTTGAAGCTTCTCATATATTTATTAAAGGCAAGGGAGGGAGGGGGGGAAAGAGGTGGGGGGAGAAGATGGGGAAGAGGAACAGGAGACAAAATGTCAAAAAACTGTGGACTATTTAAATAGTTATGTTTGGAGGAAATCCACTCCATCTCTGGCCCTGAAAACCCATTAGCATAACAAGTGGCCATTTATCAGCTTGGTGCTTTGGGAGCAGAAACTGGGTCCTGCTTCTGTGCTTTGGGCATTATCGCCCTGTGCCACACCAGTTTCAAAGGGGTAACTTCCTCCCGCTCCAAGTGGGAAGGCCTAGGTCAAAGTACTGCCAGTGATAGGGTGGTTAAGTTTGCCTAAATCAACACAGGAAACTCACTTATCTGCTGTTGTATGTTGGATTTCCCAACAATTACTAGTAAAGGGAAGAATAAAATAGTAGCTTATTTACTAGTAAAGGGAAAATATTAGCATCCATACACTGACTCCTCTTTCTTTTGTCTTAAAGTTTATTTATTTTTGAGAGAGCATGTGCACACTTGTGAGTGAGCGGGGGGGGGGGGGGGCAGAGAGCGAAGGAAAGAGAAACCCAAGCAGGCTCTGAGCTGTCAGCATAGCCCCCCATGCAGGGCTCAATCTCACTAACCATAAAGATCATGACTTGAGCCGAAATCAAGAGTTGGGTGCCCAATCAAATGAGCCACCCCCCAGGCGCCCCCTGACTCTTATTTCTTAATCAATGTTTAAACGTTAGGAGAAGAGAAGGGATTTTTATTAAGTTCCCTTAAAAATCCTGAAGTTTATATTTAACAAACTTAGCTTCTAATGTTAAAAACACAGTGCTATTTGTATGATAGAGAAATTGAAACAAAAAGCCCAGTGCCCTGTGGATGGACAATGGCACAGGAGCTGTGGGCAGAGTATCCCAATGTCCTCCCGTTCCTGGGATGGTTCATTGTGCCAATTAAACACCTCATGCTTCGAATTCAGACCTAAATTTGGATTCCACTTTGCCCGTCAGAGTTGAATGACCTTCACAAGAGTTGTTTTATCGGCTTAAACATCAGGGGCTTCTTCTGCAGAAGGGAGATAATAATTAATAGCTAACTCACAAGGCTGTCGTAAGGATTAAATTGAATCAAAGTGCCTGATACATAGTAATGGCTTAATGAGTGACAGGTGGCCATTGCTAATATTTTTACCATTCTCATCTCCCCCCCCCCCATAATGATTATTTTAAACATTCTTCTTGCTTCCAGCCTTAAGCCCCATCCTTGTCATCCTCACTCCTGGGAGCCAGCTCACAACCTAGTTCATGGACAACAGAGATGTTTGGTGGGATTGCTGGTGAAACACCATCTGAAATCACAAATGGCTCTTTGTTTTCTTTTTTTTTTTCATCTACTTCCCTTCTTGAAAAAAACTAGGGCAGAACACAGTAGGCATGGGGACCTACCTGGGGACAGCTATGGTGGCCCGGAGCATGGCAGTGGAGTCCCAGGGGGAAGGGGAAAGGCAGCCTGGGAGGGCTGCCTGTTGAGGAAACAGAGCGCTCGCTGGCTGGGTGAGGTGGGCAGACTGGTGCAGGCTGTTGGAGCCAAAGCGAGGTTGAGGGCACTCCCGGAGAGGGGAAGCCTGAGGTGGAAGTCAGAGCCTGGGGCGAGGGCAGGAGGGCAGCCCTGCCAAGCAGTGACCAGCTTCGTTGTCAGAACCCAAGCAAGGTGAAAAAAATGTCCATGTGGGAAGGGTGGCCTTCCTTGAGGTGCTAGAAACTGAGAGGAGAGCATCCGTGCAGGCATGGACAGTAGTGGCCATAGGATATTGATTACATACAGGGGATTGATCACATAAGTAAATATATTAAGGACAATGGGAACTGATTCTCAACTGTCAGAAAAGGGAGTTAACTGGGGCAGGTGGGTGGCTGAGTCAGTTAAGAGTCTGACTCTTGACCTCAGCTCAGGTCATGATCTCATGGTTTGTGGGTTCAAGCCCCACATGGGGCTCTGCACTGACAGCACGGAGCCTGCTCGGGGTTCTGTCTCTCCCTCTGTTTCTGCCCCTCCCCCGCTCACGCTGCCTCTCTCAAAATAAATAAACTTTAAAAATTAAAAAAAAAAAAAAAAAAGAAGAGAGTTAACAAATGTGGGAGGGGAAAAAACTACCCTCTAATGAGGGATTGGAATTGGCGGTATTGGTATGACCTCAAATTTTTCAATATAGGTAGATACTGAAATAAATATAGGTGCAAACATATGTGTATAATGTATAAGTTCCCTATCTCTTTCTACTGAGACAGTCTGGGAGCAATACTATCCCAGTTAGCAATAAGCACACCTAGCACTGAAATCTCCACTTCTAAACACTCCTCAAGTGCAAGAAACCAGAAGTCACTGGAGAAATGGCTGATTCCAAGACATCAAACCCATTAGCAGTCACTCCCCATTCTCTGCTCCCTCTAGCTCCTGGAACCCGAGAATCTGCTTTCTGTCTCAGGGGATTTGCCTATTCTGAACATTCATATAAATGAAATCACACAATACATGGCCTTTGTCTCTGGCTTCTTTCACGTAACATAATGTTTACAAGGTCCATCCATATTATACGTGTATCAGAATTTCATGTGTTTTCATGGTGGAATATTCCATTGTATGGCTATATTACATTTTGTTTATCCGTTCATTAGCTGATGGACATTTGCATTGTTTAGCTATTATAAATAATGTTGGTATGAACATTTGTGTACAAGTTTTTGTGCGAATATTTGTTTTTAGTTTTTTGGGGTATAAACCTAGGAGTGGAATTGCAAGGTCATAGGTTAATGCTATGTTTAACTTTTTGAGGAACTGACACACTGCTTCTAAAGCAGCTGGATTATTTAACATTCTCACCAGCAGTGTCTGAGGCTTCCAATTTCTGCACATCTTCCTCAACACTTGCTATTGTCCGTGTTTTTTATTCAAGCCATTTTATTAGGTATGAAGTGGTATCTCGTATTTTTCATTTCCATTTCCCTAATGACTAATGGTGTTGAATATCTTTCCATATGCTTATTGGCCATTTTTTATCTTCTTTGAAGAAATGTCTATTAAGATTCTTTGCCCATTTTCTGGATCAGTTTGTCTTTTTAAAAAAATTTCTAATGTTTATTTATTGATTTTGAGAGAAAGAGAGAGAGAGAGAGAGAGAGAGTCGGGGAGGGGCAGAGAGAAAGGGAGAGAGAAAATCCCAAGCAGGCTCTGCACGGGGTTTGATCCCATAAACCATGAGATCATGACCTGAGTTGAAGTCCAGAGTCAGACATTTAACCCACTGAGCCACCCAGGAGCCTCTCGATTGGTTAGTCTTTTTATTCTTGAGTTGCAAGAGTTCTTTATATATTTTAAATACAAGTCTCTTATCAGCTTATTGTTTATAAATATGTTTTCTTATTTTGTGTTGTCTTTTTCCTTCTCGATGATGTCTTTTGAAGCAAAAAACTTTTTCATTTTGATCAAGCCCAACTTATCTATCTTTTCTTTTGTTCCTTGCGCTTTCGGTGTCATATCAAGAAACCATTGCCAAATTTAAGAACACAAAGATTTACTTTTATGTTTTCTTCTAAGAGTTGAACTGTTTGGTTTTCACATTTTGGGGTCTGAGTTAACTTGTATACATGGTAATTTTGTATATGGTATGTATATAATTTTATAGATGGTATGAGGTAGGATACCTTTTGTTTAATTTTCTTGTCACATCCTTTTGCATGTGGATATCCAGTTGTCCCAGCATCATTTGTGGAAAAGACTGCTCCTTCCCTGTTGGAATGTCTTGACAAACTTACTGAAATTCAGTTGACCATAAATATAAATACTTATTTATGAACTCTCAGTTCTCTTCCATTGATCTTTATCTTATCCTTATGCCAGTAACATACTGTCTTGATTACTGGAGCCTTGTATTAAGTTTTGAAATAGAGGAGCATGTCTTCCAACTTTCTTCTTCTTTCTTCCCCCTCAAGATTGTT